ACTTTAAGTAGCCAGTTGTTCATTTCTTTTACTTGTAAGAAACAAAGGTTCTTTCAGAGCACCATTTTAGAAAAGGAAGATTAATTATTCTCCTCTGTGATATAGAACCAGTGTGCTAGAAAATCCGAAGCCACTTAATGGCTGACTGTTCTCTCAGTAGCAGTGACTATTCTGACTGTCTGCTGTGCAATAAAATACACCTATTTTAAGTTTATGAGTTTGACAGATGTATACACCTGTATAATTAATAAGCACCACAGTCAAGAACGTTTTCATCACTCAGGAAAGATCCCTTCGAATCCAACCCCCATTCCCTTCCCATAGCCAGCCCCAGCTCCAAATATCCTGGTAATCTTTCTATTCTCTATATAAGATTGTACTTTCTATACTTTCTTAAAAGCAGAATGAAAGAATGTGTTGGACTTCTTTTGTTTTTAAATATATCCTGATATTTCATATATTGTTAATTCATTTTTATTGATGAGTAGTCTCCCATGGAATAGCACAAGTTGTTTATCCATTCACTAGTTGATGGTCAGTGGATTGTTTTCCATTAGGAGGTATTATGAATAAAATTCTATGACCATTTATATACAAGTCTTTTGTGGACATTTGTTTTCATTTGTTTTGGGTAAATGTTTAGGAGCTGAATTGCTGGGCTATGTGGTAAGAATGTGTTTATGAGAAATTGCCAAAGTATTTTCTAAGGTGCTTATACCAATTTATATTCCCATGACTATTGTATGAAAGTTCCAAATATTTTACATCTTTAGTTCTTCCAGTGTGTGTATAGTATATGCCATTGTTTTAATTTTTATTTCCCTGAGATCTAATGCTGCTTCTCATCTTTTTATAAGCTCATTGTATTAGTCTTTCAGGGATGCATAACCAAATACCACAGACTTGGATGGTTTAAACAACAAAAAAATTTTCTCACATCCCAAGAGACTGGAAATCAAGATGAAGGTGTCTGTAGATTTGGATTCTCTTTAGGCCTCTGGCCTGCAGATGGCTTGTCTTCTGGCTTTTTCTCTGTGCACACATATCTTTGGTGTATTTTCCTCTTTTTATAAGGACATCAGTCTTATTGGATTAGGACTTCATTTAAGTTTGATTTACTCTTGAAAGGTCTTATCTCCTCACACTTGGGAGTTAGGCTTCAACATAGGAGTTGAAGGGACACAATTCAGTTTATTATACTTATTGACCATGGTAGGCAAGCGCTCTACAACTGAGCTACATTTGTTGTTAGCTTATTTTGGATTTGTTTTGTGTCAATTTAAGTCTGTTGCCCATTTTTTGAAGGGGTTATATGACTTTTTATTAAGATATAATAATTTGTAAGAATTCATGATTGAGTAAAACTTAGCCACAGAGAGCAAGCTTAGCAGGCTCTGGGTTCAGTCCTCAACAAGCCTCCTCTCCCCGCCAAAAGACATATAGGAATTATTCTTTCTTTTCTTTATTTTTATTTTATTTTATTTTATTTATTTATTTTTTTGAGATGGGGATCTTAGTGATATCACTGTGTTACCCCTCAAATTCCTGGGCTTGTCAGGTGATCCTCTTGTCTGAGCCTCCCAAGTAGATGGGAATATAGGTACATGTGACACTGGGTGAATTTTGTACATTTCTCTTCACTTTTTCTTTTTTTAATGTGGTGCTGGGGATTGAACTCAGGGCCTTACTCAGGCTAGTCTAACACCTACGGATGAGTAATCTCCAATCCTAGAATTCTTTATATATTCAGACCACAAGTCCAATGTCAGATAAATGCACTGCAAATATTTCCTCCCATTTAATTTTTTTTTCCTTTCTTTTTTTTTGGTGCCAGGGACTAACTCCAGGGATATTTAACTACTGAGTCACATCTCCAGCCAGTTTTTAAATTTTTGTTTTGAGACAGGGTCTTGCTAAGTGGCTTAGGAGGGCCTTGCTAAGTTGCTGAGGCTGACTTTGAAATTGAGATCTTCCTGCCTCAGTCTGCTGAGTCATTGGGATTACAGGTGTGTGCTATCACTCATGGTCCATTTAATTTTTCTGAATACTATATTTTAAAGAGCAGAGCAGAATGATCTTCTTTCCTTCCTTCCTTCCCTGAGGATTTAAACCATGTAGACTTTACCACTTAGATACATCCCTATCCTTTTTTTTGAGACACTATCTTGCTAAATTGTGTAAGGCCTCCCTAAGTTGCTGAGGCTGGCCTTGAACTTGCGATCCTCCTGCTTCAGCCTCCCTATTCACTGGGATTATAGGCATGAACCTCGGTGCCCAGCTTAAAGAGCACAAGTTTTAAATTTTCACAATATTCCATATTTCAGTTTTTTCTTTTATGGTTATGGTTTGTATGTCTTTATTTAAGAAACATTGTGTAGTTCAAGAGTATAAATTATTCATTGTTTTCTTCTAGAAGTTTTTTAACTTCAGCTTTACCTGTATGTTTATTTTGAGTTCATTTTAATGTCTGGTTGAGTTAAAGGTTGGGGTTCATTCATTTGCATATATATATTCAATTGTTTCACTGTTAATTGAATAGATAATCCTTTCCTTATCAAATTACCTTGGCACTTTGTTTAAAATCAATTGACCACACACACACACACACACACACACACAGATCTATTTCTGAATTCTATTCTCTTCTATTGATTTATATCCTGTGTCAGCAGTACTGACTTGTTACTACAGCTCTATAATTCTTGAACTTATAGTTTTTAAAAAATAGATAATATAAATCAACTTTTGTTTTCTTTTTCAAACTTATTTTAGTTCCTTTGCACCTTTCTATATGTAATTCAGCATCTGCTTTTCAGGTGTGTTAATTATGCCTGCTTGAATAGTGCCTGGCACTATTGGGATTTTGTTAAATGTGTAGATCATTTTGGAGAAAATCGCTCTTAGTAATATCAAATTTAAAATCTATGAATATGTTTTTTCTTTCCATTTATTTGTCTTATTTCTCATCACTTTTATTTAGTTCTTAATGATGGTATTATGCATAATTTGTTACATATATTTCTAATTATTTCACATTTTGGGCTATAGAGCAGTTATCTTGCCTTGTTTCTGATATTATCTTGTAACATAAAATTAATTTGTGTAGTCATTTGGTATTATTTCTTCCTTAAATGTATATTGCAAACTACCAATGAAGCTATCAAAAGCTAGAGTACTTTATGGTAAATTTTTAAATTTTGAATTGTTTTATAATAAATGGTTATCCAGCTACTATCTCTTCTTGAATTAATTTTGAGAAGTAGTATGTTTTAAGGAGTTTTGACATTTCACTTTGGTTTAAATTTTTTGGCATAACATTATTTTTAGCATTCTTCCATTTCGAAGTCTTTGTGATCTATATTGATCTACTATTTACTGTGTGATCTTAAGCAAATTACCCTCTTGTGCCTTCCTTTCCTCCTTTATAAATAGGGTGATAATAGTACCTACCTCATACTGGGATTGTAAGAATTAACTGATGGTCCATATATATAATAAAGTACATAGAATAGTGTGAGGTATAGATACCAATGAAGGGTTAGTTTCTGTCATTGAAAACATTATAGGGACTAGATGATTTCTTGTTGGTGAGGTTAGGCAGGAGAGTCATAAATCACACAGATTAAGAGAGATATATTCCAAGACCATTTTCAGTTTGTAGATTTTCTGCCAGTGAGGAGTAATTAAAATCCGTTATTGTTCCAGTGGTATTGAGGTTTTGTTTTGAAAAGATTCCCTTTCACAACTATTGGTTGCACAGCAAGAAAGAAATAT